GATTTTAAATATAACTTTCGTAAAAGTTTTATACGCTGCATCTTGCACTATTTTTGTTGTTTTGGCAACCAACAAAAATTGGTTCTTTAACTTTAAATGTCTTACCCTATATCGGTAATATCCGAATATGGAAATAGATTTTATAAATTAAAGATTAACTCACTTGTGTTCAATTATCTTGACGGAGTTTTCGCTGAGGCTGCAGCCCAGAATTTTGGCCGACGACTCGAGGCCATCGAATACAGTGCTGACACCTTCTACGGCACCGGCCGCGATGGTCAGGGCTCCCTCCATGGTGCTGTTCGCCTCGCTGGTGTCGTAGCCGAATCCTTTCTGCAGCAGCTTGGACCCCTGCTCCTGGATGTGAGGAGCCAGGTAGCGGCCCATTGCCATTGAAGCAGTGCCCACCTTTCCAGCAATCCAACCAGTCATTCCGGCTGCCGCATGCGTCACTTTTTGAGCCACTTCAACTAAAGGAAGTTTAGGGGTAAAGTTAGATAAATCTTTAAGCAATCACGGTTAAACGGTAGAATTGTAACTGCCCATTCAGATGGGTAAGACAAAATAAATATTACCAATTATTTTTGAAGTTTGGATGCAACAATTATTTTTATCAAATAACTGCGATTTAGAGGCTCTTAAGGCTCTTATAAAAACATACAATTTAACTATAACTACACTTATAATAATATATTAAAATTTAAAAAGAAGCTTGACAAGAAAATTGAAACAAAACTCAAAAACCGTATTATTATTATTATCACCAGTAAAACCCCCAAAGAAATACGCAATCTTTAGAATTTTTTCTGAAGAAAGTACTAGATAGAATGTTTAGAAACTTTTTGCACATAATAATGTAACTTTTAAATTTATTTTAAGATTTGTAAGATCTTTACAAAATGTCAAATATTAACAAAATGGTATAGTTTTGAAAAAAAGTTGTTTTTTAGTGTGATAAAATGAATTTTTGAATTCTGCCAAATGGACAATTTTGAACCAATCCTTAAGTTCGTAGTTCATTGTAGGTAGGACCCATTTAAGATGATTGAGTGTTAATTTGAAACCGACCGGTCAACTTGTAGTCGAGTTATGATGCAGCAGTTTTCAAAAATTTTGTTTTGAGATGAACGGACGGACTTGGCTAGTGAATATATCAAGAATATATATACTTTAAACAGTGAAAAATGTCTCCTACACTGCTTTGAAAACCTACCCTCTGCAAGGCTATAAAAAGAGGTAAAAATACTTCCTTATATCCCTTTGAATTTGTAAGTTATTAACAATGTTATTGTTCATAATAAAGTAAGTAATATTTAACAATTTTCGAAGAATAGACATCACTTTCTATTTACTTGCTGCTGTAAATATCTGATACGAAGCGAATTAAAACGTTATCTTTGCCACACGTGCATTTCTTCTTAAATAAAATGTATTCTTCTTAAAATGTTTCCCAAATCTATTAGACTTAACTTACCTGAAGTCTGGACGGAGCTGGGAACCTGGGTGGGAGCATCGGTCGATGCTGGCTTCATCTTAGATATAAGATAGGGGGTGCCCCTGACCATGAGGTCTCCCGTCTTCTCGGCGCCCTTGACCAGATTGCGAGCAATGAAATCAGCCGCACCCACAATGTGTCTGGACACCTGTTCCGAACCGGAAACGGAATCCGAAGCGAAGCCAGCACGTTGGGAGATGGGAGATTTCAACTGCTCCACCGTACCAGCGAGCACGGCCTCTAACAAGTCAAGGAAGAACTGTTGCAGATCCTGCATTTCTTCCTCCGTTTGCAACGAATGTGTACCTTCTTTGGCCAGCATTAAACCGAACGCATTTCCCGGTTGCTGGCACTCCAGGTCAGGGAAGATAAAGGCTCCGTACTCCGTGCGATAGCAATTGGTGATCGATGGAACCAGGGGATAGAGCCAGATCATATCGGTTTCTTCATTCGGCATGGAGCATTGGATGAAGTAGATGCCACTGAGGTACTTCCATTCACCGCCCACGGTGCACATAACCAGCGACATGGTCGACGACCCACTTATGGAGGCAACAGTTCCACTGGCTTCAATCCTGTACAATTTCACTTGGGCACGGAAAAGCTCATCCAGCAGGGCATTGGAATCCCGAACAGCTAAAAGCTGCCTCAGTCCTGCAGCCAACTCTCTGTATGTCTTTGGCGTTCCGCCAGCATTGGCAATGTCATAGTGTGTGGAAGGGTTCTCCGCCAGCAACGACCTCCTTGCATCCACTTCCGTTTGCTCCTCCTCCTCCTCCTCCTTGGCCTCTTGGGCAGTACCATCGATGGGTTGGTTCTGGGATCGCAAAACCCTCAGACGGTAGCTGACTTCGGTTTTGGCGCTCTTCAGCTTTTGGATGAGCGCACAGGCATCATTCCACTCCGTCTGCACGGCATCAATCTCGTCCGGCAGTCCCACGGGAATGCCGAAAGTGTCTTCTATCATTTGGAGGGCCAACTCATAGGCCTCGATGGCCAGTCCCTGGGACTCCTGCTCCTCGTGACCAACGGCCAGCTCCACCTGGGTCATGGCCGCCTTGTAGGCTGCTTTAATGCCGGCATAGGCTTCCAAGAACTCCTTCTCCTCCGACATTACGGCTTTATATATCTAGGATGGAAAACACAAAATGGATACTCTTTACATTAGTTTGTCATTATAGCTGATTCATAATCTTTTCAGTCTTTCTGAGATAATTATAAGTATATACTAAGTTAATTAAGATGACTTTTTTATTTTTATTTTTTTACCTATAAAATGTACTACTCTTTACATTAGTTTGTCATTATAGCTGGTTCTTAATACTTTGAGACTGTCTGAGATAATTATAAGTACATATGTCTTAAGTTAATTAAGATGAGTTTTTTATTTTTATTTTTTTCCTATAAAATGTACTAAGATTACTAAAATTCAATTAAATATATTTCGAATTATGGACTGACTTTTACGATGTCCGTATTAGTTGATAAGCTACAAAAATATGATATAGCTGACATGGAATAATAGATGTTTAAACAATATTTCATTATAATGTCAACGATCTGGCAAAACTATAAATATACACAAAAAAAAACAAAATAATCTCTTGAGGTTTGAAATATCTTATTAATGTGTCGTACAGAAAGAACATCACTAAATATTTATAATCCAGAAGTCGAATGGGTGAATGTATATATATATTTATATCTTAAAGAATGTTTTTCCAACTTCTAGAAATGTTTATTAATTTTACAAGAAACCCACTCGCTGGCAGAGATTCATCCTGACGTGGCGGTCAACAAATAATGACTAAAGGGCCAAGTGCCACCTTTTGTGGCCAAAATGCGTCATGAAATTGGTCAACGGACAGCCTCTGCATCTTACCTTCTCGAAAAGAGTGGGGCAGCTGCTCGAAATTGAATTGTGGCCAACTAAATTGCTTCCGCTTTTCTGCTTTCGCGTCGGATTTTTCACGCCCACCTGTTGCACTTAGCTTTCTGGTTTTTTTATTTCTGACGGAGAAGTTCTAGAAAGTCGATGCGATTGATACAGATCTGTGCACTTTGCCCACCAACTCAACACTAAGTCATAAAAATAATCAACATTTAACAAGTATTTCGTCATTAGTATTATATCTCGATGTCTCTGCTCATACTTAACATAAAATTCGATTATTTGCCTTCAAATGAACTGATTTATATTTAAATTCGTTAATAACATATTAGAATGTGAGTTTTGTATTCGAGCTGTGGAATGTTCTGAGTTTTTCCACTTTTGTTTTGATTCGCCTATTTTCCCTACGAAAGCCATCAGCTGTTTAGGCGGCCTATACACGACTGGGGGACTTTTGCATCGCTGTATGACAGAGACGACCGAATCTGTTGTCGAAACCTAAAAATACAAGAACAGTAAAAAACAGTAAAAGCAGTTATTTGTTTGTCTCCAATTTTGAGAACATTTGGTTGAGACAAATACCCAAAATATGCATAATTTAATGGAAAACAAGGAAGAAATCAACTATTACTAAAATGAAATATTCTTAAAAACATTTAAATTTTGATTTATTTGCTTTCAGCTAATTAATCGATCGTTCCTATGGCAGTCATATGACATCGTTTTTCGCTTTTAATAATAAATAATTAATCAAAAATAATTTTAAAATAATTTAAAAATAACGTAGTTACATTTTTTTAAATTTATTTTTTTTAATATTTTGATTATTCCCATGAGAGCTATATGATATAGTCGTCTGATTTTGATGAAATTTAAACCGTAATTCTGTAGTTTTTGACCTTTTTTTATAGTTTATAGGGTCTCCTTCACTGCGTTGGAAACTTCTGACTGAAATTATAATAGCACCTGCAAGGGTATAAAAAAACACAAAATTTTACGATATTTTAAATTTTTTCTGGCCTTAAGAATTCGCGACTGCAATTTGGATTTCAGATGTTTAGATAACTTCTACAACTTATATTATGAAGATGAATTGGTTTGTAGAGAAGTTGGCCCTACCAGCGTTGAACAGAGTAAAGAATATCTTGTTTATCCTTTTATATACCAGTTGGATGACGGCAAAAAAAACCCCAAAAGGTACCTAAAATAACATTAAGAATATTGGAATCTCTTACATTTTTACTCAAGCGTATATTCTACAGATCGTAAAGCTGGACATCCAAGTTATTTTTTAAATTACTGTAAGATGAAATAGATCCGAATTTAAAATCAATAATAATAATTTTCTTTGAAAAGTCACAGCAACTCCAGTAAATTTTCAAGATCTAAATATTAAAAATATTTAAGGCAACATTTGCAGATTTACCTGTCTAGCGGTAACAAATATTAAATAAATTCAATTAATATTTGAATTTTGACTTGTTTAATTCCGCCCACGTCATGGCAAAGTAAGCTAAGCGCATATTTATATGAAATTATTATGAGTGGAAAAACATAAAAAGCCTGAACACGTGCAAAAACAATTATAAAACGCAGAATCCATTTCAATTAAAATTTCGTTTTACGTGTTATTTATTTCGTTCTTTTTATCATTTTTTAAAATACAATAAATGTTATTCCTTTAAATATTTTTGTGGATCCTGATTTGAATGCACAAAATTACATTTCGTTCGATTCGGACAACGTTTACATCCTGTTTTTTGTTTTGTTTTTTTTTTTTTTTTTTGCAGGAAGAGGAGGCGGCCGTGTGGGCCGAATATACACACATATGTGTAAAACATATGCAAATTTGAGTAACGAAAATAATCTATTGGAATTTGTGTGTGGTTGTGATGGCATTGGGATCCGTTTCATACAACATGTCAAATTCTAACGAGGCGCAGACTTTAGTCTTCGGGAGAAGATTTTTTGATTGAAATCACAATATATATATATGTATATATAGAATTATATACCCGGATAACTCTAGCGTGTACACATAAGTATAAGTATGCGTGTATGTGTGTGTTTTTTAACGTATAGTTCATAATGCATTTTGCGACGACAACTTCGGTCAGATGAAAAACAATGATAACGAGTTGCTGACGCTTCCATCCATCCTTCGTTGCCATGATCGCCAGGACTGGATTGGGGATTGGGTCTGGAGGAGCTGGGGATTTCCGACCCCTTAGGCGGTCGGCACGTTCGCCAATTCCCGATAGGCGTCCTGCAGTACCTGCTGCTGCTCTGGTGTGAGGGTGCTGGCACAAGCGGCCATCACGTCCGGATTGGATTCCACCTGCTTGACGATGGTGAGCATACGTGTGCCGGTGGCGCTCTGCGCATCCAGCACCTTGGTGCCAAAGGCTTCAGCGATGATGGAGACGATGCGCGGCAGATTGCAGTTGTTGGCGCCAAGGATCACGGGATGATTGGCCTCGATCAAGTCGCACAGGTAGCCATAGATGTGGGTGGCCTCCTCCGGATCCTCGGTCACCGGCAGCCAAGAGAACCAAGCCGCAATCAGCTCGTCCACGTTGGTCAGCGCCGATTTGTTGTACTTGAGGATCTTGGCAAATGACGAGATCGCATTCTCGGTCGCATTGATGTTCTCGATTTCGTGGGCCTTTGGATCGTTGATGACCTGCACCAGCAGTGGAATGATCTGGGCGCACGTGAGCGCAAACTGCTCGCCGGCGAACTGGCCGAGCACTCCGCATCCGTAGGCAGCCGCCTGGCGCACCTCCGGCGACTTATCCAGCACGTACTGCAGCAGAGCTGGCGTGAAGATCTGCTGGTAGGGAGCACAAGCGGGGCCGCAAAATTCTATAAGCAAAATAAATCAAGAATGAGTTCGTTAATTTAAAATAAAGACTAAATATACAGAAAACATATTAGGGGAATGACATTAAAACCGGTGCACTTATATGGGTACATATATATATATGTATGTATTATATATCATAAATCGAAGAATGAAAGAGTTTGTCTTATAAATGAAAAAAAACAAGCATCAATTAAAAAATTTAAATCACATAAACCAATTAATAAAGATGCACATAGTTCTACATGTTTCTAATCTTTGGTCAGTCGACTATTTACTATTAGCACTATTTAGCTTAGCTTAGTTTCATTCATTAACATTATTTAAATGCAATACCAATATAACCTATTATTATATGAATGCAAAACAAATAAAGTATGATTTTAAAATAAAGACAAAATGTACAGAAAACATATTAAGGCAATGACATTTAGACCGGTGCACTTATATAAATATGTTATATATTATAAAACGAAGAATAAAAGAGATTCAGTCTTATAAATGGAAAAAAAACAAACATCAATTAAAAAAAAAAATCACATAAACCAATTAATTAATATGCACTCAGTTCTACATGTTTCCAAATTTTGATCAGTCGACTTTGGTGGCACTATTTACTAACTAAGTTTCATTAACAAAAAATTGTTATTCTAATGGAATTCCAATATAACCTACCGATCAGATCGTCGAACACGCAAACGCCCCACTGGCGATCGGCGACGGGTCGGCTGGGCTCCAGCAGCTTGACGAAGTGGGGGGCAACCTGCTCGAAGGCGGGCAGGAACTGGGCCTTGTTCGTCTGGAAGAGGGCATGTGTGATGTCCACGATTTTGGAAAGGATGTAGACATCGGTGTCGTCCTGCTCGGCCAGCTCTTCCTCGACGCCGTCGTCGTAGTCCTCCTCGTTGCGGGCCGCCAAACGCTTGTCGGCCCGCTCGAAATGCTCCAATAGATACTTGTTAATGATCTCGAGAACCTGCTTCATGGCATCCTCGTTGAGGCAATTGGGTCCCAGGGTCTCAATGCATTTGGCCAACGAGTTGAGCAGCTCCGACTGCACTTCCGGCTCCGGTTCCGTGTTGATCACCTTCAGCAGCTCCGGGCAGATGAACAACCACATGCCCTCCAGATACTGCGGACCCTTGATCTTGGCGCAGTCGAGCAGGTAGGGCAGCGACTCTGCAGCCGCCGTGCGGACACCGTCATGGAAGTAGAACTTAAGCATGGGCAGCATTTGACGCACCACCTCCTCGGCGTACTCGGCAAATCCTTCCTTCAGTTCTCTAGCATAGCACACAAGCATCTCACAGGCGGAAGCCTTGTCATCCATGCCAGCGGTGCGAATGGCGAAGTTCTGCTGCTCGCCAAGATTAATGAAAGACCAGTCCACATCCCCCTCGATATCCTCCACCTCGTCGTTGTCCAGCATCGCCACCTCGGGCTTCATGGTGGCTGTCCGCATCACGGGACCCATAACCAGTGGCAGATACTGCTCGAATTGCTTGCCAAGAATCTTGCACATGCGGGCCCAAGCAGTGATCAAGTACGAGGTCTGGGGATCATCATCAGCCAGCTCTCCGCCCTCGGTGTGGTTGACCAACAGCATGTCCATGATCTCACCGGCATCGCCAATGAACTTTTCCCGGCCCACCGCCAATCCAATCAGGCTCACACACTCGATGGTCTTGCCACGTAGCATGCGCAGATCATCGGAGTTCGCATTCTGGATGATGAACTTAAGGCATGGCATGAGGCGATCGTAGTAGGCCACGAACTCTGCTTCGCAGGTGTCCGCCACCGAAGCAATGGTGGTGACCACTTGTTCCAGCACCAACTTATTACCCTTCTCCACCAGCTCCTTGAACTTCGAGTTCAGGATGGTCTCCAGCTTGGCCATAATCCCGTCCAGGTAGCGTGTCAGTATAACTTTCGGGCAGTCCTCGCTGAAGTTAACCAGAGCGGCACCGGCGTGCGCTTGCACTCGGGGATTAGCCACGTCATCCAAAAGGGACAATAAACCAGGAATCACCTGGAAAAACAATCGGAATCATGCGTGTTACTTCATTAAAGTAAACTTTAACAGGCGAATTATTTAAACAAGAGCTCAATTCTATTTGTCTTAATTAAATTGAATACAAAAAGTCATGTACAATTAGGTAAATAGACCTCATCGCGGAAATCGTAGAATTGCATTTCAAGCTTGTAAGGCTCGAGTGGATAAATAAACTATAAACTATAACAGTCTCTGTTTATTTACACGAAATACATTGCTTACATGATGTTCTGCTTTTGTTTGTTTGTAAATATTGCATTTAAGACCCCAAACTGTAGACAGAATTCCAATTAAGTGTTAAAAAATGTTATGCTAAACTTAAATATAAAATAATTTAAATTGTTTAGATAATGTTCTACATGTTTGTTTGTAAATATGGCATTTAAGACACCAAACTGTAGACAGTTTTTAAATTAAGTGTTGCCAATTATGTGCATTAAAACTCTTAACTAATTAATTTTCAAGAATTAACTAATTTAACTAATTCATTTCAAGAAATGTTAAATAGACATGCTAAACTTAAATATAAAATAATTTAAATTGTTTAGATAATGTTCTGCTTGTTTGTTTGTATGTATTGAATTTAAAAAACCAAACTAGACAGAATTCCAATTAAGTGTTGCCAATAAAAATGCATTAAAACTATTTTACTAATGCACTTCAAAAAATGGTAAATATACATGCTAAACAAAATTTTAAAATATTTTAAAGAGGGGCTTCCGATATTGACTTAGCAGGATCAAATTGGGTTTTATTTTAATGTAATTTCATAGTTGAATACCTAACCAGATATTGCATTGAACTCATTAAAGGCAAACAATTTAATAAATAAATTCCATCACAACTAGGACCACACTCACCTGGGCGTGGAACTTCTTCTCGAAGGTCGGTGCAAAGTCGGTGGACATTTGGCCGATGGCGTTGCAGGCGGCGTAGCGAACGCGGGCATGCGGATCTCTCAGGAAGTTCAGGACTCCGGTCATGACCTCATCCAGAATGGCCTCCATCTGCTTGTGGCAGCCCTCACCGATGGCCGATATGGCCATGAGGGCGGCAAAGCGATGCTTCCAGTCAGCATGGCCCAACATAGCCGGCAGAGCGTTCATCACGTGCGGAAGGACAACCTTTCCGCCCAAGCCGCAGGCTAGACGATCCAACGAGGACTCGGCGATCACGTTGTTGTCACTGTGATCGTCATCATCGACCACATCGGCGGTGGACCAGTTTTCGTCCTCGTCCAAATCGGTCATCATATGCAGAATCAGCGGAATCAGAGCCACGATGTACTTATCGGCCCGCTTGCGTACCATTGCCGGTGCGTTCTCGGCCAGCGAGACCATGACTTCGAGGACAAGATGGCGCCAGCTGTCCTCAAAGTCCTGCGAGCTGAACACCTTCATGCAGACCTCGAAAATAAACTCCAACTGGGGACGGAGGAACTTCGGGCAATTTTCGGTCATCTCGATTAGCAACTTGAGCAGACTCTGATCGTCCTGGGCCTCGATTGTCTCCCCAGTTATGTGGATCATGCGTGGCAGCATGTCGGCAAAGTGCTTGTAAATGGCCGTCTCCTTCTCCTTGTCGTGGTAGAGAATGAAAGCACCGACGGCTCGCACAGCCTGCACACGGACCTCCGGATCGGAACTAGCGTCCATGCTCTTGGCCAGCATCTGCTTGATCAGATCGATGTACTGCGTCTCCTGGTTTCCAAAGATCGAAGGCACACTGGAGAAAATCCGCAGCGCCGATTCCTGCAGCTGCGGCGTCGGCGAGTTGGCGCACTGAAACAGAAACTGCAGGATATCCGGCCACTGATTGTTACACTCCTCGTCGATGAGGTTTCTGGCCACCTCAGCCACCACTTCGCAGATCTTGCGCCTCAGCTGCGGTGTAACGTCCTGCTGCACAGCTAGAAGAATCTGCTGCAACAGCTGGTTCTGCGACTCAGAGGGAATCTGCAAAATGTCGGTAATATTGGTTAGAGCATTGCGGATCGGGAATTCGTTAGGGTCTACGGCTTACCTCTTTGTAGAACTCCAGGAACTCGGTGGTGAACAGACGACGCAGCAACACGGCGGCCATCTGTCGCGCTTCCTCCGATTGCTGCCCATTTTGGATGTTGCCCAGGAGGTGCGTCACCTTCAGCTCCCTTGCCAGGTTGTTGTACGCTTCCTGGTAACGAAAAAGAGAACAGCCAAATGGGGAAATTTGAGTTAGTGATTGGGGGTTGCTAAAGTGGGCTCTGGATCAATCTAATAACATTTTTTTTAGTTACATGTGTAGTTTATCATCCATTTTTTGGATACATTCAATTTGTTTTTCTATTTTTATCAATATCAAATCAATTTTGATTTATGGAAAATATTCCCTTAACCAAGATTAAAGCTTACATGTACAGTATTGACAAGCTTGTAGTCATCGGTTGATAAGATATATATGAACCTATATACATTTTTGCACACACAGTGTGTAATTTTAATCGCTATCCAGCTAATATTTTTTGTTGTAAACGTTTTCTTGTATACCTTGTAATTATAAGTGTGAATGCAGCCAATGCAAACTATATTTATATTAACTTTTCGAACTTGTTTGTTGGTTGATATTCTCTCATCGCTTACTTACGATTTATTTTCACTATTTCGAAAAAATTTGATTTGATAAAGAGTATTTGAATTTTAAAAATGAAAGTGATATTTGAAACTGTGAATTGTATTTTATGTTACAAAATATTTTCATTTTCATTGCTATTGTAATTCAATATTGTATATATTTTATATAATAATGAATTGTGCTTTAGATTTTTGGAAACCTCCAAATAAATCGGATTTAATGGAGAAAAGTGAATCCGAGAAGGGAGCAATATAGTTTTGGCAACCGATTATCCGGCCCACCGAGGTAAGTGGAAGCGGCGACGGCGGCGGTACCAAGACAGCCATCTGCCCAAGGTCAGCCGAGTGGGTGGGGTGCGGTACGGTGCGGTGGGTGGGGCGGTGCCATGTGGCGGCCGGAACGAAACAACGGAATCCGAGCGCGCCTTATCAACCGACTGACAGATTGCATTTCCCCAGACCGTGTGTCATGGAATTCGCACCTGCTCTTTGTTTCCGTTTGGTGTTCGGTGTTCCACTGGAAAAAGCAACCGAATCATGTGGCGGCGGCGGCCATGCAAATTGTACAATTTAGTTTCGATTTTGCCTTGTTTGCCTTCTGCTTCGCACCGTTCGTCGCTATGGCGCTCTCGCTCGCACACATGCGAATGTCGATGGCAAAGCGGAGGTCGAAAACACGTTTTGTGCGATGATTCAGATTTGACAGAAAATTTCGTCCGTAAGATTCGCATGTCTGGGTCTGGTCAAATATCTTATAGATGGCAGCTGGCCACCGAAATCGGCGGTGTTTGTTCTATATGCACATTTGCGAATTGCGCATCGAAAATTCGAGGCAATAGCAATATGTGCGACTGCGATCCCCCGCCCCTCCCCCCTCACTGAGGGCGAGAATAATGTGACTTACCTCCGCCTGTTGGCGCACATCGTTGTCCGTGGACAAAAGGGACACCAGGAGCTGCTGGAACTGAGCCTGATCCGCTGCCATCTTATCCTGTCTGATTCCAATTGAAACGAAACACAAAGCGTTCGCGGAAACCACGATTTTCTCTTCAGTCTTCACGCGACGGCGGCCGCCTAAAAAAGAGCAGAACAACTGCCTCTGCCTGGGTTGCCAAAGGGTCGCAAACTGGCGCACTGCACTCTCGAATCCGCGGTCACTGTGACTTTTTTGGTGCCTGGTCGTTGGCGGGTGGGTGCGATTTAATTAATTTCTGCGTTTCGCGTGGTTTATCCAGCGTTTTTTGCAATTTTTATGACAGGCTGGAGTGTTGAGGTGCCGGTGGCAACACTGCTTTTCTGTTATCGATAAAGGCCGATTGTTTTTGGCGCGCAAGCGAGCGCCCGGAAAAGTGATGACAGCTATCGGGCGCACTCATCGAAATAGCTAGATATCTAGCTATATTTAAATATTTATTGTGTAACGGGCAAAAAAACAGATAAGCCTCTCGAAATTCTTTACTGTAGCGAATTCCGAATTTACGGACTTTTCTATAATAATTATATTGCATAACTCAGCACAACAACAAAATGTCGCATTTTAGCCTTCAGAACTTATTTTGTTTAGCTCTGAAATTCTAATATTATAAGTTAAATTACTTTTTAAATTATTTTGTTTAAAATTCTTTTATTAGGTTATTGAAAAGATTTTGAGGTCGAATATATTTTAGGTCCTTTCTTTACTCGCCTATTCAAATAATTTAAATTTAATTTGTTTTTAAGCAATATTTACTACTTAATTGGATATCATATATTTGCGTGCCGAAATGCTAATTGCATAACTCTTCTTAACGGAAAATACGATTATTAAATTAATATTACATTTTTATTTACAAAATTAGTGTAAACTTGAACAAGAAAAATTAGAAACAAAAATTAACGGTAATAATCAATTTGACTAGAACAAAAAATCAATTACTTGACATTTTGCCCTTCATAATTATCTGAATTAATAAATCAATAATAATATTTCAAAAATATTTTTTGAAATATGATTACACTGCATTTGCCATCGAAAGTATCTAGTGCAAAATTAGATTTATACAACCGAAGACAAAAATCGGGATAAAATGTTGGATGGAGTTATTTCTGCTGGACCTTGACAAGGCGCTTCAGATTGGTGAAGAGCCGCAAGGTGAAATGGTAGATCATCTCCACCATGCTCAGGATGGAGAACCCCATGAACAAACCGAAGATACCACCGCAGTTTGCCAGGAACTCGGTCATGCCGTACAGTTCCGATCGCTTCGAAGTGATGAACTGGCTCTGCTTGAAATAGATGGACAGGCGTGACATCTGGGAGCCGGGATACTCCTGCAGGAAGTCGGTGTCGCCCTCAGCCAGCAGCATTTCCTCCAGATCAAAGTTGGCCTGCGAGATCTCCGTGTTGTAGACGAGCGATGTACAGGCGGGCATGCAGTTGCAGGCAGATTCCACGCCCCTCGAATCCCCCCTCCCGGCATTCAGAGCTCTCACCCGTTTAAACTCCCTGACCAACAGCTGTCTCTCCGCCCGATCGTAGCAATGGATCTTATCCTCTCCGCACACCGGCATATCCATGTTCCGCGGCATGGAAAACTTCACGCATCCGCATTTGGTCAGCGTGAAGTTGGCCAGGCACTCCAGCTGGCAGTTGGACTCGGTGTAGATCTTGAAGAAGCGCAGCGACCGCTCGTGGCTAAGAAAGCACTGCCTCCGAATCGGATGGTATTCCGCGATGCCCGACGACATGGTGATCATGCTGGGCTTCACTGCGATCAGCACCTCCTTGCCCATGGGAATGCGCACGAACTGCTTGGACACCTGCGGCACATCGTCGGGTGCATGGAGCAGCACCTGGTATTTGGTAAGGATATAAAAGTGAGCAATTAATAAGTTCATGAACAGCATTTTAAAATAGCTTTAAAAGTAGTTCTCGGCTCGATAACATTGTGATTTCTGAATCCAAACATTTTTCTTTCAATCAATAATTTATGTTACAATATATAATGTTAGGGTAAGCCGCAGGATTTACAAGTTAGCTATATATTATCATTACAAAACTATTTAGTAGGTTGAATAGTATTGTAAGTTTAGGTTTTTAAAGCACACAAAACCACAACATATGGGTAAGTTTCTTTTGGATATTAAGGTTTGGTATTCTATATCTAGTTATTTCGACCGTAAAAATGAAGAATACCTTAATCCTACCTTAAATCCCTGCACAGGACCTCGGCAGGCGTAGTCGACCTCCTGTTTAAAGCTTTGAAGAGCCAGGAAAATGCCAGACCGAGCTCCGGCACTCAGGACCCTGGCCGGAAAGGTTTCCACCTCACTACCGTGAGCATAGCCCGACTCCAGTGTCCAGGGCGGATGGCGCGAGCTTATGTTCTCCATTTCCAGGGGCTCTCCGCTATGCCGGTACTGATAGGTGTCCTCCCGATATATCTCGGTGGCTCGCAGCCCATTAAAGGTATAGCAGATGCCCTCCTCCGTAAGGGTCTTACGGAAAAACTTCTCGCATTCCCCGAAGCGACTCAGCCAGCGGCAGTAGAAGAAGTAACGCTCAAACTGGGGCAGCATTCTTTCCAAGACATCGAAGTAGTCCAAGTCGTCGCCGGCAATCAAGGGCATGTCCTCCTCGATGATCTGGGTGTTGCATACGTGAAGCAGGGTGCGGAACTCCTCCATCTCCAGGGCGCTAACATTTTGGGGCTTAAACAGTCGAGAAGCTCGCATTTCCTCGCTGAATTGGCTGTATAGATCGGCATATGTGGTCTCCTTACCTAATCATCAAATTGTAAAAAAATCATTTGTTTTATTACTCTCAATTTCATAACTCTTTAATTTCATTCACGTATAAACTTTTGTTCGAAAATCATAAAAATTTTTTTTTTCAAAATATTAATAGATAACATTTGAAAAAAAAATGTTTTAAAATATTTTCCTTAAATAAGATTAATTTTTAAGATTTAAAGGAAATGAGTATAGCTTGGAAAGACCTGTAAAATTGGATCTGAACAAACCTTTTTGCTTTAAGACCCGCTTGGTCTCAGAGCAAACAGTGACCGCCGGAAACGGGATGCTCCACACAGGCGTCGATTTCTCCGCGAAGCTTACGATGACGGGCTGTTAAATAATACAATTTAGTAATACTCTTTAATGGATAAAACCAGCAAAAGCTCAGTCCTAATTTAATTCTAATGAAATTTAAAATTTTTCTAAGATTCAATTAAAAGAATTATATTTTTAAACATACTACAAACGAAAAACTTTTAAATATTTTAAATAATTTTTTTTTTTAAATAACGATTTGAATAAAACTGTTTAATATTAATAACATTTTGTAAACTATTTTTAATATTTTGTTTAGCTGTTTGCTCAAATAAAAAATAATGTTAGTTTTGCAAAGCGTAATAAAAAATTCTGAGCCGTCTGTTACAGGGAGCTTTCACTGTTTTTACATTTACCGCAGACTCCCACCGTTTCGGTCCACTTGGTGTAGGCACTGAGGATCAGTGTGGAGCATCCATAGATCGAGATCAGGAACACGAACAGCCAGAAGATCCGTTCGCGCAAAGGGCGCTCCCGCTCGCCCAGATATTGGACGCCGTGAATGGAGGTGTTCTCGCAGTACTCATGGTACGTGGTAATGAATCCCTTGCAGGTGACGGATCCCTCCCTCTTTTTTTTCTTCTTGGTGGACAGGTCAATGCCAGCACTGTTGCCCTCCACATCGCACTCGGCCATAGTCATGCTGGTGTCTATTCCACTCTTCGACCGCACAAACATAGCTCACAAATAATGTAATTTAACACATACAAATCGTGCTAACTTTGCAAAATAAATGCCATCCCGTTACTCGATGGACCTGCCAGACCGATCGATTTTACTGTTTTGGGCTGGCGGTCTGCAAGTAGTAAGCGCACATAATATATTAAAAAAAATATATATATATATATATGTAAATTCATAGATATTATTGAAATAATATTTACACAACAATTAAAACAAGAATGAACGTAATAGTCAAGATCCCCGACTATTAAATATACCCGTTACTTAGCTAATCAACTCAAAATAAATATGCCCCTGAAAATAATCGGGCCCTAAGTGGCGCCATCTGTCGAAAAATGTACATTTATGTTTATAACTTCTAAATAATGGTTCGTTTGCATGCATCGGTAGATATTGATTGCATCCATGTCTCAGAGTATAGTTGTATGTATTTACCTGTGTATATTTACATTTCTAACAATGTTTTTCCACAGAAAGAATTCAAAAGCTCTGCCCAAAACTCTGAATATTTTAAATATAATAGTAACTTTAGTCAACCATTTGTGAAATAGACTATGCCCACATTTGTTTAATCGTCCAGAGAAAAAAAGTAAAAATACATTTTTATAATTTCAAAATAGTTTTCAAGATAATAAAAAGTACGATGAATCCAAATAATTTTTTACAGTTGCTCGTAGTTTGCTAAAGAAAATGTTTTCTCAATACATTTTCCACGGATTATTAGCCCTTTTGCATTTACTCTGGCCTGTGAGAACGCTGCGCAACATATTTTCAAAGCGACTGTGTGAACACGTTATTAATATAGATTGCCGATTAATATGTTTTGCGTGAGTACTTCCGTGCGTGAGTATTTTTTACCCGATTTTGCCATCGCTAGAAACGACGCTATAAGGTATCAATATTATTATTGAAAATGGTTACGAGAACTTGCGCGTACAAGGATTGCGAATTTTACTATGCCGTCCACGACATTGCGGCGAACAAGGAGAGAACTCTGTTCGCCTTCCCCAAAAATCCGGAACGAGCGAGAAAGTGGCGCGAAAATGGACGGGTGCATCCGAAGATTCCCCAGAGTCAGTTGTTTATGTGCTCCATTCACTTTGACCGCAAGTTCATCTCCTCCTCGAAGCAGCGAACGCTCCTTGTGGGCGAGGCACTTCCGTATCCGTACGAGGAAAGGGACACCGAACCGAAACAGGAGGTCCAAGAGGTGGCCTCAACGTCGCAGGAGAACTACTTTATAAATCTGAGCGATGATGAACTGAGCATTAATATTAACACCGTGGACACGACCACAAAGTCCAAAACTATTGATCACGAGCGTAAGTATAACATGTATTGACTATAAGTATAGATTTCCCTGAAGGCTTTTACATATAACTATATTTCAATTTTTAGTTGAGCTTGACATAGAGCCTCCACCCGCCAAACGCTCCAAAGAATCGAACGCACCTTCACCGAAGGATACTCCTAAAGTTAACCTAGCTAGCATGGAACCTGAAAGTAGCGAAACCATCGATACCTCCGAAGTGTCCGTATTCAATTTTAAGGGCCAGGAGTACGTACAAATGTCCATGGAGTATTATATAAAGGAAAAGCGGAAGATGGCCGAGCTGCTAAAGAACTACAAGAACGCTTTAAGAAGCATAAAAGCACAAGTGACCGAACTGGACCTTTGACCTAAATAAAACTTTCATATTTCAGTCATCTCACTGATTGGAATTTATTTGGGATGCGCATCTGTAGAAACAACAAAGTAATATAAAAATGTATTTTTTTAATACTCTGAGATAAATACTACTGATTAATATAATTGTATTGTTTTGTAAACTATCAAATCTAGGTTTCTAATTTCATATTACAATTGGGGATTAAAATGTGGTATTGGCAACAGCTTACCTTCTATACATACATAGCTCAAAAAAACCTTTTGCAAAAAAAAGTTTTTTCTAGTTTTATTAAATTGGCAAGTTCAAGTTATGAAAACCTTCATAATTCAGAAAAAAACGAAGACTTGACAATTATCTTGTACTTTTAAAGAATTCAGGATCCTGCTCCAATGTTTTTATACCCGTTACTCGTTAAGTAAAATATAAAGTATATATATTCTTCATCAGTCATGCCCGTTTGTATGAACGTCGAGATCTCGGAAACTACAAAAGCTCTGTGGACTCTGTGTGTGTTTCGGTCACATCATATTTAAAATCGAGCTAACATTTTAGAAATTAAGTGGTTTTGAAGTTCTCTGCCGCCGCTGCTTCTAGTGTTGTCTAAGCAGTTCGATAGATGGCGCCTCCTAAACTTCGATTGTTTTTTAGGAGGAATACTTAGTTTAAAGTTTGTTGGCTAAGTCGGGAAACTTTGTCTGTACATAAAATATAAAATTTATTTATCAAAAAATTATTTAAGCTTAAACTGTATTATTATTTAATGTTCAAATAAAATATAGATAACTTTATCTGTACATAAAATATAAAATTTATTTATCAAAATAATTATTTAACAAATAAAAATGCTTTTGTTCGATTTAGTTTTTCGAAATTTTTTGAATTACACACAACATTTTTTGAATAATGATTTACCACAGGCAACACATTCTTTTAATAATAACGATTAAATTAGAATATATTATTCTGATATTTCGATATAAAATGTTTAACATAAAATTGTTACTAAAACTGGTATATTAAGACCATGGAATCTGTGACACTGAACAAAAACGTAATGTAAAATGGTAAAAAGACTAAAAGAAATTAATTTATATTGTTCGAAAAATAGTGCAGTAGAATTTATACTCAATCGCTCTGCTCCGGGACATCTTCCACATCGCTGTCCACATCAATTCCGTCGCTTAGATCCTCATCCTGATCCTGCAGTTCCTCGGGGATGCCCAACAGGAGACGTTTGCGCTGCAGCAGGGCTGCCCAACTGAGGCGGGTCTCGCAGAGCGGACACTCGCCTCCAACCGGGATATAGTGACCGGGCTCGTCGCTTAGGAGATAGTTGGCCAGGCACAGCATGTGGCAGGTGAGCCGGCAGGTAGGATTAGTACATCCCAGCCGGGATCTTTCCGGCTGCTCGATTTGCTGCATACACAGGTGACACTCGGGGGCCCAAGCTACAGGTGGCGGAGCCACTGCATCATCACCTCTCTTACGTTGAGAGGCACTTATGGAGACTTTACCACTCACGATCTCCATGTGCCGGGGCAGTGGCACATCAAATGTCCTCTCGTAATCCGTTTCTAGCCAGCGAACGGTGAGTGGCAGTCGATTCCAAGGACCCACGCCCAGCATCCTGCTGAGGATCCTGAAGTTGTAGTCAAAGTACGTCTCTCTGGGCACTTTGCGCTTCAACTCAGGGTACATTTTGAGTCTGGTCGACAACGAGGGCTGTTGCCAGGCCCACTCGAACTGCAGTGCTACTATATTGTTCGGGAATCCATGGACTATCATAACCATCTGCCAGGGACCCTTGCGGCTGGTCTTCCTTGCTCCGCCGAAGTCGCAGCCGAGATTATGCTGGCGTATGCGACGTTTTGGATTCACTGTAAAACCCACGTAGCACTTTCCCCGGTAGCTAGAATCCAAACTCTGGCTGCAGAGCAAATAGACGCCGTAAAAGTGACCCTTGCGGGCAACTGCTTCCTCCTGCTCTGCACCTGCTTCCTGTGGGGCTGTGAATTCATAAATATGTAGGGTTATTAATGCAAGATCAAGGTCTTTAAAATCTGAAACCACAATAGGAAGCGACAGCTAACGGATGGAATAAAATGTTATTTTCAAATTAAAATATTCAAAATATTTCGAATCAGTATAGATTTACTAAACGAGTTTGCATTACATAAAACTTTATAATTGTTTTATTTTCTCGTTTTACTTGGAGAACTCCACAGAATAGTAAATCAGTTTGTGATATTGAATCGTATTAGTAGCCAGAATAAAACTATATATTTAAACAAAACTAAACTGCCTGAACGAGACCTTAGTATTTTGAATAAAAACTATTTTGTTCCTGATTCTTAGACTATTTTATTGGTAAACTTTAAGTTGCCAGCGCTAGTTTAACTCTAGTTTGTTGTTGGCCCCTGCGGAAAGGCCATTGATTTGCTGCTGCTGCTGCTGTTGCTGCTGCTGCTGTTGGGGATTCCCCGCCTGAGCCTGAACTGGCTGAAGTGCAGTGGCCGTCTGCTGGCAATCCGCCGTGGCAGCTGCTCCATTGACGTTGGGCGTGGCTGCCGCTGCTTCACCACCCGTTGCAGCCTCAACGCCGTTCGCCTGCTGTTGTTGCTGTTGCTGCTGCAGCTGCTGTTGTTGCTGCTGCTGCTGCTGCTGAGCGGCCGTCACATTCTCGATCAGCTTGATCCGCTTGCGAGTGTAGTGCTGCCACTGGAGAATCGCTTGGTCATCAATGAACTTGCAGCACTGCGAGTTGACGATCTCGCGGCGAAAGTGCTCGTACTGCAGCAAATCGAGAAAGTAGAGGCACATTGGGTACATGAGGTATTTGGCATAGTCCGGCTCCTTCCAGTACTGCAGATACTTCAGGTAGTTGATGAACGACTGGTCCTTGAAAAATCCGCGCTGCGCGAGGACTGTCAGAAGGAATTTCTTAGTTAGATGCGTGTTTTTCTCAAAGATTTACAGCATGGGCGCTAAAAATATCAATTTGCTCAGTATTAACATGAATTCAAAGCCATACTTCATACGAATTCGATTATGATTATGACGAAGAAGCTATAAGAATTGTATGTCTCGTTTAGAGCTTAAAATAAATTGATATTAAACGATCAAATAGTTAAAACAGAAGGAATTTCTTAGTTAGTTGCGTGTTTTTCTCAAAGATTTACAGCATGGGCGCTAAAAATATTAATTTGCTCAGTGTTAACATGAATTCAAAGCCATACTTCATACGAATTCGATTATGATTATGACGAAGAAGCTATAAGAATTGAATGTCTCCTTTAGAGCTTAAAATAAATTGATATTGAACGATCAAATAGTTAAAACTTGAAGTTTGGCATGCTGCCAAGCATAATTGTGGTGTCTTATGGTAAATTAAGTTATTTAGTTTATCTTGAGATGGGTTTTAAAATATTTAAAGTGCGCAAATGCCAAAAAGCAGATTTAATTTGGAATGCCCTGCTGGTTTTTAATTAAGTTTATGCACTGAGTCTTATAGTTGACTTGGATGAACTCTCCCCTCGATTGAGAAGATAATACGGGTATAAAGAACGTACAGTTGAGATAGTTGGGATTGGACAGGCACTGCACGAACTCCAGCTCGATCTGCCAGCGTCGCCTCTGCTGCTCCTCCGACTCGATGGCAGCTGCAGAATAGATATGGATGGCATTAGTCCCGGGGGGAATGGGCAGATTACTTAGTGGTTCTCTGAAGAATTGGCATGCCAAGCGGGTGTCAGTAGGTGTGTTAGGTTGCAAGGCAGTAGTGCGTGTGGATTGGCGTGTACTTACTCTTACCCTTTCCGTACATTTTGGCCATTTTGGACTTGTCTTTGGAAAGGGTCTCGTTGGTTCGGTATTTGCGTCTATTCAGTTTCGGTGTCGTTTTGGGTTTCTTGGTTTTCTTTCAGTGTGCTAGGTGGATGTGACTGTGACTGTGGCTGTGTGTTCTGGTGCACCATCGAATTGAAAACGAAAAGTCACAGTAAACATAAACACACAAATAATAATAGTAATAATAATAATATGCACTGGCCCTGATGCAACAACAAAATATATGGGACGCGCGGCAAATGACTGAGACAGAAGAAAACAACGAAATAACGGATTAAAGGCAAACTCAGGACACGAAAAATAGTCGAGCAGATTGCTATGCGCGGGCGGTTGGCTGTCGCTCCTTTTGTGTTGGTGATTTATTGTGGGAAAGCAGTTTAATTCAGGTTTTAATTCTGTCTACAAACCGTAGGAGTTCATTTGGATTGCTGATGGCCGACGACAACCCTACTTCTGCGGCTGCCAGAGTGGCCAGATAGTTGACAAGCTACCCTTCTGTATTTAACAGACTGCGATTCAGTATATTTTTGTTTGGTATACCAACGTGTTTCCACTACTTTTAGGATGCAGATTTTTTTTGAACATTTTGTTAAGATAAAAATAAAAAAAAAGAATAAATAAGTACTTAGAAAGGATCATATTTACAATGTTCATATAAAGAAGTAATGTGTTTTTTAAAGGCATTTCAGTTTTTTATTATTTAAAAATTATTGGAGGTAAGGAATAGAAAGTTTTCAGATTAGTCAAAGCGCAAGAACCAGGCTCCAAAAATAAAACTAAGAATTCAGTAATGGATACAATAGTTAATAGTTGAGACCCCACATATAAACTTTATTTATCACCTATCAGAGCGCTACAATCGGCCAGTACAAACTGTTTATTTATTAAGCAAAGAAACATAAATATTTAAGTATTCCCTAAAAGATACTTATTCAGATATTCTGAATTGCTATAAAATATGAAGCAAACATTTTCAGCCAAGTATGTTTCATGCTGAAATTTTCAAAAAACTGTTTCATCAAACAGCCGTTACAACTGGTGTTTATCAATTGGTTTAGCTTTGTTTGTTTAAACTCGGGGAAAATGCCTAGCACTAGCAAAACGTTGAATCTTTAGATTTATTAAAATTCAATAGACTGTCTAAATTATTTTATTTGTATAAATCTTGTGATTACTTGTCTTTTCAATATTTGTAGAAAAGAGCAACAACCCTGGCTTTTCAGCAATTTAACAACATTTTCCGCAGCTCTGGGCTGCTGAAATTTCAGTCAGTAGAATTTGTATAGAATAGCTTACCGAATTTTAGCAATTCATTTATTAATTCGATAAGGGAATACCCATTATGTTTTTAGAGATATCTAGTATTTAAATACCACTTCCCGACTACCCCATATGTGGTGAGTATTTCAGTATTTCCAGTATTTCACAGCCGACGACAAACGCTTTAGTGAAAATCAATCCATGCCTCATTTCTTTGTCAGCCAGACGCCAGGAAAAACTGAAAAATCGCCTGGAAAACATATCTCATCGGAACCAAACCACTGGAAAAACAATATAAAAAGGACAAATAACAACTAAAAGAGCAATAAGCTGGTTTAACACAACACTTGCGCGGAAAAAGTAACTGGAAAATTGGCCCTCGCCTGTTTTTAGGCCAAGGAAAAAGCGAAGCTACGACGCAAAAGGCGCCCGAATTGTGAGTGGAAATTATAGTCTTATTTGGTTTATGTAATTAAAGTGCATATAAATAAGTATGGCCCCATTTATTGAGGAGTGATTCAACCTCCCACAGCAGAAATTTCATTATGTTGTGGCGCATCTATAATTAGATTACAGTGAGGTCTGCTTGCAACCCTAAAATGCCAGTATGTATGTATGTATGTACATATACAGCAGCCGTTGAAACAATAGTAGCAAAAATGGGACTCTTGAATGTGAAATGTTGATTGTACTGAAAAGATAATTAAATCTTATAATAAATAGTAATTTTAATAATGCAACATTTATTATTTTATACAAATTGTTGATCCATTATAAATAATATATACCTTTAAGAAATGGTTTCGCCATATAAAATTTTATTACTTTGAGTCCTGTAACTATGGCCACAGCTGTGTGTTGTTGGGGTGTTCAAGTTGCCACATACATATGTATGCCTATGAGCAGCTGCAGATTTATTGGTGTATTTGGAAATTGTCAATCAGGAGCTTAGCGTTTACAGCCGTCAGCTGGTTTTACCTGTCCTTGGGTTATCCTTTTGTCCTGTCGCACCTACCTGTCGTCCGCCTATAAAACTCACGGCATTTTCCTCTGCCATTTCAGTTGCAAACCGGTTTTCGGCGCAGAACAACACCAACAAGATCCTTCGAGTGGCAAGCGGAAGGCAGCGGAACAAACACAGATTTAAAGGATCAAACTATTAAAACAAATCACCGGCGGAATCATGAACACTGGGATCTCCCTGAACGAGCGCTTCACGCAGATGCAATCGAAGCCACAGCCGCAGAGTCGCGGACGCAGTCGCTCGCGGAGCAGGAGCCGCCGCATCGTGGACAGCGGCGCCGGGAATCCGGGCATTTCGGCGGCCAACTCCCGCCTGCTGCAGGAGTTCAAGCGACGCCACACCGTCCAGACGGCCCTCAAGCTGAAGCGCGTACGTGTATCCCAAAAAAAAAAAAAACCGAGTATAAAAAAACCACAGACAAACAAACCAGGGGAATCCGACCAAATCAGTAGGACGGGTCGATGCCTGGCAGTAGCAGTGGCCTGGATTAAACCGGAGGAGATGGAGTCGGAACCGGCTGTCGAGTCGAAAGCGGCCGCGCCTTCTGCGTGGTCCCCCAAAAACACCCTCTATCTCAATCTCCTTTGAATCTGAATCTGAACTTGAACTTGAACTTGAACTCCAACATTGTGCAGCAGCGTACTGAAACCAATACTTCCTACACATCCTTATGCCTCCTTACAGAGAAGCTTACGGACCAACGCCGTGAGCGGACGTGGAGCCCGCGTTGGCGGCGTCAAGTCGCTGCGCCTGGCGCCCAACGGAAAGCCCATGCGGTCCAACAACGTGACCCGGGTAGCAACGTAAGCATCTCGTCCTCTAATCGCGCTCTCAAGCATTCCCAAACCAACTGCAACACACTCTCTGTACTTCTTCGTTAATCGCCCAGGATGCGTGCCGATCTAGTGGCCAGCGGCATTGTGGGTCGCAATCGCAGCAGCGGCAGCAGCAACCGTCGCTTTCCCGCCTCCGGCGGAGGTGCAGGTGGTGGTAATGGAGGCAGCGGTGGCCTTCGTCAGCGACTGGGTCAGCGCAGGCCCTCAGTGGGCGGTGCGGCCGAGCGTGTAGAACGCCGTCAGCGACAGCAGCAGCAGCAGCATCAACAGCAAGCGTCACGTGGACGTTCCCGTTCGCGATCCCGGTCGCGCTTGCCGCAACCGCAGCGCATGGAAAGAGGTCGCTCCCAGAGTCGCGGACGCAGCGTAGGCCGTTCACAGAGCCGTAATCGCGATCGTTCCGCTCAACGACGAGTCCCGGTGAAACAGCGCCTCTCGGTCAAGCATCGCCTTGGCGTGCGTCCTGGCCAGGGAAACAACAACCAGGGCAACCAGGCCAAGAACCCAAGGCAGCGCCGTGCGTCGAGCCAACTTCGAGGCGTTGCCGGCGGACGAGTGGAGAAGCGTCGTAACGGCAAGGTTCCCCAAAAGAAAGGCATCTCCGCCTCGATCGCCGGACGCCAGGGACGACCACGCGGAAGGTATGTTGAGAACGTAGTCTAAAAAAACTCACAAAAACTAATGGCTAGTTTATAATGATAATCATATAGGAATCCAATGAATATGTAAAGTTATTAACAAGAAAGTTACGACAATTCCAAATTGCGAAAGGGATCTTTCTGTTTTAATTTGATTTGAATAAGATACTTTTTGTAATAACTTACGTTTAAAGTAAGAAACAAAATGTATACCCAATTTTTGTATGGCGATTCTAATAGTTTCTGAGATCTCAACGTTATGGATTTTTTTTTAGGATTTGACTAGATTCTAGTTATGCATACGAAGCACAAGTTTATTTTAAAGTTGGGCCACACTCACTCTACCGCCAACAAATTGTGAAACTCAATCAAATCAAATCAAACAATGGTATAAAAAAACCGATATATTAAGAGTTAGCGGCTACGTTGTTGAATTGTAGCGTTTATTATTTTATTTTAAAATTTAATATCTGATTAAGGGTTGGCCCTCATCAATAGCGTTCCTTGTTATTCATTTTGAGACAGTCTGCAACTTAGTAACAATATTAAGTCGTTCCAATTCAGTTGACGATACTCATCATTACTTTGTATTACAGATCTGCTGTCAGGAACGCTGCTGCTGCGAACAACTCTGCACCCGCGCGTCGCTCTCGCTCGCGAAATCGCGCAGTCGCCGCCGCTGCTGCTGCCGCTGCCAATGCGACCGCTTCGGGCCGGGCTAATCCTCGCCAGCGACGTGGACGCAGTGCGGTCGCTGCCAAGGGCAACAACATCAGCAGCAGCAACAACAACAACATCAACAACAACAGAAATGGTAAAACCAACAAAAACGGCAAGGCCAAGGCCAAGGCGGCCAACGGTGGCAAACAGGGCCCGCAACAAGAGGCTCGAAGGGGACGCAGTCGTAGTCGTAAGCCTGCAGGTAAAAGCGTGACAAGTGGCCAGGAGACCAACCGGATCGGATCGGATGGGTATCGGCACTTGAAACACAACATCTTTAATTCTTACAATCTGCATTCTAGTTTGAACCCTTAGTTGTAACGCTGTGATTCTCTCTCTCCTTGTTAGGCAAGCCACAGAGATCGGAGGTAAAACGCGAGGATCTGGACATGGAACTGGATCAGTATATGTCCACCACCAAGTCTGAGATGGACTACTTGCTTAAGTAAATTCAGATCGTTCGGACCAAATTTAATAGAAGGAAGGAAGGAAGGAAGAGAATAAATGAAAGCTACCACCGGCTATAGACAGCTTATGTTTCTCTCATCGCACTAAGTTACCGCCTAGCTCATAGTTATTTTAAGCATTAAAACATTAGAAAAGCGCCCACAAAACGCCTCTAAACATACAAATGTTCTCGTGTACATATGGCAAGCTGTAGAACTATAAGTAAATCTGGCCGATAAATGTAATTTTAATCGCATTTTCCGAAATACAATTTAATTAATGCTCAACTAAAAAACAAAAGACAAAGGGTTTCTCATGGTTTCTCGATGGAAAATATTTTTGTTAATATTTGTAGTTAATGCATTTGTCAATTTATAACAGGATTATTGCCAAAGAATTCCTTCATTTTCAGTTCATGATTAATAGTGACTAAATAAGTACTACTGGCGATATTGTCAAATCGTTTGTTTGCTCACACAAATATACCATCAGTTCCCTTAACATGTTTTTGTTTAATGTTCGTTCGAGTGGATACATTTATAATTCACACAATTTCGATTGACAAATGTTTTGTCGCAAATAACTATGGTAGAAATCTCAACTTTTTGGCTGAAAGAAAACATATTTTCGGTTTAGTACAGACTGACTTTTGTTTTAGCTTAAACTATACTAGTAAGAAAATGAGATGTTTTTTATAACGTATACATAACCCTTGGTACAGAATGCATAACCCAGAGTTGGTGATCACTTTTTATGTTTAAACCCTTGCAGAGTGCATTATAATTTCAGTCAAAAGTTTGTAACGCAGTAAAGGAGACCCTTTCGACTCTATAAAGTATAAACATTCATGATCAGCATTAAAATGACGGTCGATCTTGTCATGTTCGTCTGTCCGCCCATCCTTTTCAGACGATATGCATACAGCTGCGATTAAACCTAGTATTGCTATCACCACTTATCCCTAAATGTTTCTTATATATATCTTAGTTATATATCATATAGCTCTCCTGGGAAAAATAATTAAAACAAAAACAGGGGAGTGAAAAAAGTATAACTTCGCTGTTTTTTTATTTTAATTGAATATACTTCAAGGTATATATAGTATGTGTTGTTTCAAAATTACGGTTTTAATTTTGTTGATGATAGAGTTAATCATACAAGTATATCTCATACAAGTCCTCTCCAGGTCAAGTAGTTCAGTGTATCTGAACGATGGTTTTTTTTTCGTGCTCATGGGAACGTTTTATGCAAAAAATTACGTTTTTGTCGCTCAAAATTTTACTTAATAGTTTATTTCTGCGAAATAAAATTTTTTTCATGAAAAATCGATCGTTCAAGTACCCGCCAAAATCATTACAATTATTTTTTTCGCCGATTACTATCACCGCAAAGTCATTTTGTTCAAAATTTCAAGTTTAGTTTATGTCGGGAATGGAACACGCATTCAACTAAAGATAAAGTTATTAAATACGGTTTTAGTCACTCGTTTAATTCGTACGACTGTCTCACCAGATATCTTTGGTGATTCAGAATAATAATAAAAATGTTTCATTGATGGCTTATTTTACTAAAAATAGAACGTTCTTAACTTTTCTAAATTCCATGTTCTACAATTATTTCTTCTTAAATATAATGACGGTCCATTTTATAACTGGTTTGGGAAATTAGGAGTACGTCGCAAAGTTTTGTAAAATAAAAGCACGAAATAATCAAATACATTGTTTTTTGTCCAAGCGGTATTAAAAAGTAATATGAATTACAAAAAAAACTAATGATAAAAGTGTAGAAAGCTGCTGTAAGACTTCATTAAATTAAGAAGGATTTATTAAGATAGTACAGATAGACAATTAATTGAATATCACCGGGGTATATAAATTATTTCATAAAGATAGGAAATACACTTATCGGTGCTATTATTTTGACCGCTTATATTGTTTGATGCACCTGAGTTTTCGATAATTAAATGCACAAATGATTTAAGATTTCAAACTTATTTAAATTTTCGCACTCATTAAATTGCGGTTTGAAATTCGGATATATGCCAGACCGACTCAATCTTAATAAGCGCTCCTTACAGATTAAGTAGCCAACTACAACCGGTAAATGTGATTAGTTGTCAGTGTTAATCAACCGCAACAGGGGAAAACAAGCCAATCTGCTGCACCCGTCACTCAACACCACCCAAAAGTCACCTATCCATCCGAAAACGGAAGGCAATCCGCTAATTAACACAAAATGGTCATTTGTTACGCTTGCTAATTGCCTCGGTTAGGTGGGAGGACAAGTGAGGACATCCCCTTTCCATTTCCTCCTGGGATCCTCGTCATTAACCCCTTGTTGCTTGTCAGCTGTTTGAAAGCATTTAACAATTTATAAGCAATTAGGAAACGTTGCTATGCCCGAATAATTATACTATTCAGCTGCAAGTTGAGGGCGATTTATAAGCAGACGCCTTTCATTTTTTTTACCGAAATTAAGGCATGGGTCTCTTACCTTGGGGTTAATTAGGTATCAGAAGCAATTTTGGCATCAAATGGCACCACTTTTTTAAAAAGATTAAGGAACATTTTAGAGATTTCACATATAAAGCACTTGTTACACCTTAGCTCTTAAACTGAGCTTTTAAAAACAAATTAGTTTTTAACGAAAATTTAAATATGGCGAGGACAAACGCTTTTAAGTTGAGTTTGGTGTTTCTCTTCAGTAATCTACAAGTTTCCTAGATCTTAGGCTTAGGTTTGGGTTCTGGTGATGATGATTACACAGTCGAGATCTGCAAATAATTAATGCTGAACTGTTGACTGTTCAATTTTGTGCTTACTTGCATTTTTTAAGCAATTTATTGATTAATTAATTTTTTAAATGAGACAAGTAAACCAATGTTTTTGATATCGAGTCACAAAGTCATAAAAACAAAATAAAAACGTAAAAAAAATGGTGCCATATAATAAGTACTAAGAGCAAGTTTCTAAATATCTTATAATTTAATTAATTTTGTAAGCAAGCTTAATTAAATATAAATAAAAATTATTAAATATTTGTTGAAAATCTACTGTTCAATAACCGTTACCGTTGGTTTCCTTATTACCATTAAGCGATGTTTATCTTACTTATTTTTAGTCCTGGAGGAGGTGGTTTGTTTCGGAGTTTGTAAACTTAAGTTAGTTTTCAGTTGAGGTCAAAAGGGCTGTTTCGGTTGCAGTGAAATCAGGAAATCGTCCTAGCGACGAAGCTGAAAAATCCAATTTGACTAATCTGCACAGGGCACACAGAAAGGTGGAAAAGGTGGTGGGGTCTTAAGACTTTCCCTTTTTCGGGCGCTTACGAGCCGGGGAAAACAAATTTGTGGTTGTTAAATCGCTTACCGAATGTCTTAGCAAACAAGATAGAAAGGTAACTTCGGCAAGCAGCTAAGACAAAAATTTTTTATTTTATAAAAGCACTTAACACGTTTATACGTTTCAGAATTTAGTTCTTTACATTTCCTGTGGAAGAAATATCACACAGCCCTCCGATCCGGTTCGATCCGACTATTATACTTTCTTGCAATATTAAATCGTACTGCTTAAAATCTAAGTGTTCTTGTCCAAAAGCAAGAAAGGAAGCAAATTTCGGCAAGCCGAAGTTTATATACCCTTGCAGTTATTGCAAAAATTAAATGTTCTTGAAAACATTAATATTATGATTTCCTTGCGAATAAGTTTAAATACATTAAAGCTGTTGATTTTCAGCTCAATTTTACGATAGTAGGCATAATTCTGAACTGTAAAATTATTAATAAGCAAAAAGAATTAAAAAAAAATTAAAAAATAAAAAAGTTACATTTAAAAAAAAAATTATTTTGTAATATTTTTATTGTTTCCATGGGAGCTTTATGTTATAGTCGTCCGATTTTGACGAAATTTTAACCGTAGCTATACATTTTTAACCATTACTATATGTTGAAGAACTAAAAAAATATTAAAAACAGCAAAATATAATTTTTATTCATTTATTTTACGATTGTTCCTATGGCTGATCAAGAACCTAAACAGTTTATAGGGTTGCAAACTTCTCACTGAAATTATAATACCATCTGCAAAGGTATAAATATGTTGTTTTCCTTTATTTTTCTTTATCCCAAGATTTTTGGAACAGAACACATTTATTTTGTACCTTTTATTATAAATAATTTTTTTTTAACTATATACAATATATTGGTGAAAATGTGAAAGTATTTATCAGTTAAAATGGGATATAAGCTCGTTTAGTTGAAATTCCGTTGGGTCACCAAATTTGAGCAAGTAATTAAATAACATTCAGTTGAGTCCCGCTCTCAACCATCCATTGCAACCGACTTAAGATGTTAATCAACGCTCCTGAAGCCGCAGGGCCGAGAAAGTGCAAAAGTAAACAGCAAAATACCAGCGGTGCAATCAATTTCATGGTGAACTAAGACAGCTCTAAGCCATAAACAACAGTCAGTCAGCGGCAACTTAATTGTTGTTCGCAACTTTGTTGTCACCGCCTTTGGGTCCTAGTCTATATTTCGCGGCCCTAGTGAACTCGGCGGTTCGAGTACCTTGTGCCAATGTGCTCCAGATGGCAGAGACATTCATCGGGGTGAAACTTGGTGGCAACTGCAACTTAAAGCCTCGTCGCCTCTCAGGTTCAGTTACCATCGAATCCGATTGCCGCATCAGTTCACATTACAAACAAATTAAGTAGAACATATTTTTTGAGCGCACCGACCTTAAGATGCCCCCTACTTCTACTGGACATTATGGTTTTTAAAAAATTGTTTTCTTATAACATTTTCCGGTAAAGTCCATTTTAATCTGTTCTTTGTGGAAAACCGTTTTCGATCCCATGACATTGGGTATTTATATTTTCTTAATCAAGATGTCAGTCTGATTCATATAGCTGTATGTTCACAACGATTTTTTTTTGCAAAATCAGAATATTATTTACCATAACTTAAATTAATGGCATTGCCAGGCTTACTGGCAGATCTTTCTCGCATTTTTATTTTTAATGCGCCAATTAAATTGCACATGGTGCCTTGTGCTGAAACCATATTTATTTTGAAATGGGTTAACAGCGTAATGGGTGTTTGATTGTCGAGGGTTTGGTTACCGGGAAATATTGCAGTCATTGGAAATCGCGTTTTTTCACATGTTCCGATTGACTGATTCTTTGGAACAACACCATCCAACTTTGTTCTTAACTTAACAAAAATTTTAATAATTGAATTTATTTTAAGGAGCATAATAATATTTAATTAATTTAAAAGTAGTGGTATTACACCTTGTTACCTGGTCGATCTTTTGCAGATCTTTCTCGCATTTTTATTTTTAATGCGCCAATAAAATTGCACATGGTGTCTTGTGCTGAAAACATATTTATTTTGAAATGGGTTAACAGAGTAATGGGTGTTTGATTGTCGAGGGATTGGTTAACGGGAAATATTGCAGTCATTGGCAATCCCGTTTCCTCACATGTTCCGATTGACTGATTCTTTG